GGTTGGTTGTTTTAAACATAGCAATTAGCATATCTTCCTGCATCTTTGTATAGTGTCTCTTCATCAGATAACTGCAATCTGTGCAAGCACTCTCCAGTGGAAATTATTACTGCATACTGTTTTCATGATTGTCTTTTAATTTCACTTCAGGGTAAATAATGTCTCTGAAGTAGTGACTATTAAGCATAGTGTGGGAGCACTTAGGTGGATCCTTTTACTTAACATTCAGACTAGATGTTATCTGCTTAATTCTTTCATGAGAACTAAGAGAGTCAGCCAGCAAGCTCCCAGCTGATTTTCTTGAATGTGGGTTAAGTCTCATTCTTGCAAGTGAGAACATTTTTGGTCAAAAACTGGTTTAAATTTTGTTCTGCCATTCATCATTATGTTCCCTTTTCCACACATATCAAAAGTGGTCTGCAACAAGTGTACACTGTGTGTTCTGAACTGACTGCAGAGTTTTACTGTTTGGACAAAACTAGTTTCTGTTATTAACAGTTTTCTTCACATTCAGCTGGAATGTTCAGATTCCCTGTTCTCTGAAATTACTGCATTACAAGGAAGAATGTCAGTCATGTAAAAGGATGTCAGCTCTTTTTCAGGCAAACTTATACTGCAGTGGGCAGCAGGGCTGCTGTAGCACAAACTACAACTTGTAGCCCTTGAAGCTGGCAATCAGAGCCTCCTTTTCAGTCAATCTCCCATCAGGGCATAGCCCACACAACTCATTTTTGCCAGTTAAAAGGGAACCCTGCTACCCAGGTGCTTTATATCAATGCCTTGAAACTTTCATTTTAGTGATTTGTGAGAGGAGTGTTAACTAGTTGTCCCTAGCCCTATCTTCATTTCAGCTGTTCACCTAATTGCAATGGTCTTTTTCCAAATGTTAGATTACGACAAAGATGAACATGCTGCCCCGAGGCGCATTTGCTAGTGCAGGAACCCCAACTGTGGAAGAACTGAAAACTTACACAGTCCAGCTGGGAGACCTAAGCCAAGAAGCAAATGTGGTGCATGCACAGGTAAAAATGGCATGTCCTAATGCTGCAAAAAATACCAGGAATTCTAGACATGCTCTTTGGGTGCTGGAAAAACGTAGCCAATAGTAGTGCAGATGGCTTTCACTGTGGTGTAGCTTTTTGCACCAGGTATGGGCTACAATGTAGAAATCAGTTTCAGATTTTGAGAAGAAACATTTTAAGTTTCAGCTATGATGCTTCTGCTACCTGACTCCAAAAATTTGCTAGCATTGGTAAAACTCCTCAGACTGTATAAAGCAACTAGCATGTGAATGATTTCAGTAAATCTGTAGTGTTGGAGCTGTCAAGATAAATTGTGTTGTGCCTACTCCTGAGATTAGAGACCTCTAAGACAACAGCTAGTCCCAATATATAAAGGGTAATTGTCTCAGTTGTAGCCTTGGCAGCTTTGAATATTACATGCATGTAACTGTCTCATCCAAGTCCATTCCTTATTATTTCATTAATTCCATTTTATTACTAGCTCTCTGAACCTCTAACCTTATACAAGTGAATAAATCTTAGCCACGCCTTGGGTGAAAGTACTGAAAACTTCCAACTTCCCTTTACCCAGGATAACGTGGCAGAGGAAGTCTCTTCCAATTTGGACAGAAAATTGTTTGAGCTGCTGCTGGCAATCAGCCGATGTTTGAATAACATGGAGGAGATGTTAAACACCTCGGTCCTCTCCACCGAAGAGGCGGCTGTGCAGCAGGCTCTTTATGAGGTAACCATCCTAAAGCATTCAGAGGAGGAGAAACTCCGGTGGATTTCAGTTACAACAGAATATATATGGCCTGATATTTGCTCTCTTTTTTGCTGGTATTATTTGGGAATAATGGCACCAAACTATGTAGTATTGCACAGGTTTGGGCCTAATGCTTTTAACAACAATTATTCAACTTGGGTCCTGCTGCCTTTGACCAGCAAGAGTCCTTGGATGGAGACCATTTTCACTCATGTCATCTTTCTTTTGACCCTTCAGACTCTTTCTGTCGAGCTGCAAAAACTTCACGCTGATCTGAGTGATAAAAAGGAGGATCTTCTAAAGTCTATTAGCTGTGCCGGTGGGAGCACAGATGTGTTCTGTGAGTGCTTTAACAACTTGCAGGCACGGCTGGAACAAACTCAAGCTGCCACTGCTTCAAGGAGCAACTCAATGAAAGCTGGACTGGATCATAATAGCAATTATCAGGTACTCCACTGCCAAATGCACATCTTGTTTCGCAGCATCTGTTAGACTTGTCAGTGTTAATGCATTAGAGTTACAGATGAGCAATCTGTAATGGGGCTTTCCGTTTTTTTGGTACTAAACAAACTTGTCTTGGCCTCTCGAGAAGCAAATTAATTTTGCTATTTACAGTGCTGCTTGCAATGCTGACTAACTTAGGGGCCTTGATCACAGGAGAAAATTTGCATGCAGAAAGGACAGAAGTAACCTGGCATCCCATGCATGCTGAGCTACAGGCTAAAGCAAGTTTCTGTGTGTAGGCCAAGGAGAGTTTCATATATTCTTCCTGCTGCTGCATATATTCTTTCTGTATGGCACTAGATTACTTTTAGCTATGTATTGGTTGTTAATCTGGCCCTTTGTGTTTACTGTTCCTTTACATTTTGTGCCACAGTAGCAGAAGCGGTAGTTTTCCAAGTTTGCATGTCTTTGGGTTTTTTTTGGAAAAGCAGATAGTGAGAAACTTTTCTATAGATTGTTATGACGGGCTAAATCTACCAGCTATTGCTGGAAAATACTTGGGTATTTAGGCTGAAGTAAGGAAAGAAAAGTTGGTCTTTTGAAATACAGTTTTCAATGTCCAGCAAAACTCCAGTGTGTTCATCATCTGCAAATCAGTCTAGCTCTTTACCGCTGAATAATAAAACAGTTCCTTTGAAAAATGCTGGGGTATTGTCTCTAAACAGTAGCAGGACTAGTCTTACAGTGTTTACTTATGCAGAATCCACGGAGCTTCATCAGTTGCCAGTAATGGGCTCATTTTCAGAAGAGAAGAATTTGTTTCTTTGTACGTTTCACAGATTTTTACGATCATAGAGGATCATTGTGACAGAGTAATCTGCTTTCTTACACTACACAGACTACAGAATTTCCCTCTCTAAATTACTGCTTTAAGCCCATAATACACATGCTTTATTTGGGTTTTACTAAAGAGGAAGAAAGTGCTTTTTGCTGTAAGGGGCAGCCATTTTGTTTGCTGTGTGATTTTGTCTGGTCATTACTATATTCCTGATATGTTATATACTTCTGATGTTTGTTTCTTTTTGCAGAATGAAACCAGGCTACTCTATGATCAGTTAACTGAGAAAAAAGCTACTCTGCAACAAAGCCTCAATGCAATACGTGGACATAATGTTACTGAACAGCTTCAGGTAATTCTCTTCAGGAGAGGAAAAACTCTCAGCATTAGCTATTATTTCTAGTTTTCTACAGTCCATTAAGTTTCATATATTTCAGAAGTTTGAGTTTCACTTAGGTTTTAAGAACGGGGAAGGAGAGAGTTCAGTATTCACCAACCCTTTTTTTTTTTTTTTTATTACACCTCAATCTGTCATCAGACCTAGTTCCAGTCCTTTTAGTAGTTGGAGTGGAGGAACCAGTCTCTCCGCAACCTCTCAGAGGAAATATATCCCACACTGTTGTACAAAGTACAGCACCTCACACATTATGCCTTTTTATATGCAGAACTAGATTTTCTTTGTGGTAATAGGACTCCAGTATTTATATCTACTTATTCAGCATTAACAAGCATTTTATCTTATGGCATTTGACCAGTTAAGCTCTTTTCTCTGACCTTCATAGGGATTAGCAGAGAAGTAAAAATGAATAAACTACATATCCTCCCCAGAACGGGTCATCAGCCATCTGTCTTATTGATGAAACAAAGAGGGTATCCCAAAACTTTTTTGTCACAGGCTTATAAACTTGTGTGCAGGCATAGGTTTCTCCCAGGCTGAAAGCTATCTTCAGTACTGCTCAATCCCCTAGCAGGGACTGCTGCCCTAGATATATTCTGTCAAGTAACCCCACTTGGAAGAGAAATGCCAGAAGTACCTAACTTCCCTTCCTTCCGAGAGAACCTGTCTCAATCCATCCCTGACTGATACTTTCTAATTCATAAGAAAAAAATGGTATTTTCTGAGTCCGTGATTCATGGCTGCTCTTGAACTAGTGAACCGAAATACATGTTGAATGCTGGACTGAGACACAAGACCTGAATTCCCTTCCTAGCTGTGCTCTGTGAACCTCGTAAGTTGTGTTAGGAACAGTTCTTGTCTATTTAGCATACAAGCTGGTTGAATCTCGGAGTATCACTGTGGATTTACAAAGTGCTAGCAGAGCAGAGATCCAGCCCGTGGAGTTGCTGTGCTGCTAATGGTAAAGGAAAGTTTAATGGTCAGAACTCTTCCTAATAGCTTATTTTGCCTTTAATTCAGAAAACTGATGCCTGTGCTTTGGAGCTGCAAAACTTTGAAAACCAAGTAGCAAAACTGAGAGGCCATGGGGAAAGATTTCAGTTACCTCTCACCTTAATCCAGGAAGCTTATAAATTAGAGGTAAGAGCACAATAGTTGCCACTTACTCAGCAAGGTTTGACTCTTCTAAGCAAGATATTTTTAGCATCAAAAAGCTGATGGTTATTTTGCATTCTGGGAATGTGTATGCGAGTTTGTAGGATTCCTGTTTGTCCTTCATGAATCACTAACCTGTGTTTACACTGTAGGATGTTTTGGATGACATGTGGGCAATTCTGAAAGCAAAATATGTGGAACTGAACTCTCCTTCCATCAGTGAGAGCAAGTATGAAGACTTACTTTGTGGATTTGCAGAGCTGGTAGCTATTGGACGAGAGAAGATTGCTCAAGATCCAAAGCAGCTAACAAAAAGCAGAGCAGCTCTACAGTCTCACCTGGAAAATCATAAGGTATAAGATGCTTATCACCTCACTGCTCAGATCAGCACAGCAGGAGTACCATTTTCTGTGACTGGCTTCTTTCCAGTGTTATGGAGAAGAATAACTAGCTCATAGCGTAGGGAAGCAACTGGATTACGTGCAAAAAACAGAGCAAAATTTTTCAGTAGACAAAAATAGGGCCCAGTAAAATGGGAAAGAGAGGTTGCTATTACAACTGTAGTTTTTATGATAAATTAAGATCAGGATTTCAGTTTTGTCAGTCTAATACTACTTTGGCTTACCTCAGAACATAATGATATGTGAGAAAAACAGATGTCCTTCTAACCACTAATAATAAATCAGTAGTGAGGTTTCTGAAGTTGCTGTCTAGCAATTGGGAGTTTAACCTTTGCTTTCAGCATTCTGTGCCATCATGATCTGATGGAGGAAACTTACCTATAACCGCATTTTTTCTCAAGGCAGGGTAGTTCAGATCCTCCTCTTGGCAGCCCAGCCTTCCCTGTACCCAGCTGCTACATGCTTGCATGATGGGAGATGGCTGAGAATGCGCCTGTGTCCTCGCTGTCCTGCCACTTGGCAAGAAATCTTGGCCAGCGTAGTCACTTGAAGGTGTCTTGGTGATGTCAGCGCCTTGATTTAACTGCTCCACAGAGCTGCACTGCAAACCACTGCTCCAGAGTCATAGGAATTGTGTTTGTCACTTTCAGATTGCCCTTAGCAAAGCAAAATGTTAGGAATTCATTTACAAAGGAAAATAAATATCGTATCTCAATCCAAATATACATACATTACGAAAGCAGAAGAAAACGCAAAAGCCATTTTCCCTGCCCTGGTTGTCAAGATGCTCACACAATCTATGCCTGGGATATGGTCCTTAAGTGAAATTCCAGTGCTGGTTATAAGTTCTTAGTGAGAAAGATCTTGATTGAAGACTGTGAGCTTTTAACAGGCAAAGCTTTTTTTTGTGGGGGAAAGTGTTCTGTTGGGATTCAAACATTTCCCAAGAGCTCATCTGAGCTATAACTAAATCAAACTTTTACTCAGTTATCCCAAATGATTATTGTGCCCTACCTACTACTTAGAACTGCTAATACCCTTGGTGCTTGGGGTCACCTCCCATCCAGGTGAAACAAATTGGATAATGGCTATCTGGTGATAACTATGTTATGCTAAACTGTGAATTTATAGTTAAACACTTCCTCTAATTATCTGACTACAGCATCTCTGTATTTTCTGTGAACTGAAGGTATATATGTAGATATTTTTCTTTAAAAATGAATAAATGAAAATAGTGTATGCAACTCATCAGCACCAGGGAGGTTTAGACTGGACATTAGGAAAGTGAGAGTGGTCAAATGCTGGAACAGACTTCCTAGAGACGTGGTCGATGCCCTAAGCCAGTCAGTGTTTAGGAGGCGTTAGGGCAACACCCTTAACAACATGCTTTGACTTTTGGTCAGCCCTGAAGTGGTCAGGTAGGTGGACTAGATGATCATTGTAGGTCCCTTCCAATTGAAAATATTCTATCGTGTACTATCCTACCCTATCACTGTAAAATGTGATGATGTGTCATATCACTTGACTAACTAACTTGGGCTTATGTAGAATTTGGGCAGAAGGCTCCTGACTCCAGCTATGCGAGACCCTGAAACTGACTGTCCTTAGAGAGTCTTCTTTGTCGTCTTCATACTCCCGCTGTGTGTGTGATCTCTCTTAAAGAGCAAACTTTAACTTGGTTTATTGTTTTGCTTTCTTTTTAAAGTGGTGTATATATGTAACTTGTTTATTTCAGGACTTTTTCCACAACCTCATGACCCACATGGCTTTCATGCAAGCATTTTCCAAGAAAGTGACTCCCTCCGTTCTACAAAAGAGAGAGGAATTCTGGAGAGAGCTGGTGAATGAAGTCAAACTGCTGGAGCAGAAGGCCTGCCAATATGGTATACACTTAGAGAGCCTGTTGAAGGTAATGAGTCAAAAGAAACCCAAAGTAAAAGCTAGAGGGAAGAAGGAGAACAGTTGTGTCTAGGAGAACCCTTTCCACATCAGTTATCCTTTCCTGTCTCCACTGGGCAGCAACACTTTATTATTTGTTCTGTGTGTGTTAGTATTTAAAGCAAATGCTGCTGATGCCTCAGTCTGGTGTAGCAAAAATGCAGATAGATGTGTGATATGTTAATGATGTAATATCTTTCTCAGGAATGGATGGAATTTGATGATGAATGTCTAGTTTTCAATAAGGACTTAGAGGCACTTGCCTCTATATTGCCTTCTGTGAATTTGGTTGAAGAAACAGAAGAAAGACTAATGGAAAGGATTACGCTTCTAGAGGTATTTTTGTGGTTGTCTGTCTGGTTTTCTTCATGGATCTGTGGAGCTGGCAAAAAGATTAGTTAGAATCTGTGGAGAAGATGGTTTGCAGGGCACTTTCCTTTGTGTCATTGTCTGTGTGTGGATGCAAGCTGAAAATCTAGTAAGGGATCAGGCTGCTTAATTCACCCAGGGTGCTACAAGTTCATTTAATCAGGACTATTGACTACCTGGATCCCAAGGACAGCAGGGAGCCTTGGAGTGGATACAGAGCCACTTCTCTGTAATTCAGGAATGGTTTTCATGCCATGATATAAAACCTAGAGAAGAGGAGAATCAATCTAGGTTGTGGATGTCCCCTCTGTGGAAGCGTTCTAAGGCCAGATTGGACGGGGCTTTGAGGAACCTGGTCTGGTGGGAAGTGTCCCTGCCCATGGCAGAGGGGTTGGAACTAGATGATGTTTAAGGTCACTTCCAACCCAAAACATTCCACAGTTCTATGATTCTATGACAACACTACCTGCACAGCCTCTCCCTGCATGGTCTACAGGTTTGCCAGCTTCTTTTAAAATCATGAGAATTCAAAATGAGATGTCCTGATTTCTATTGGACCAAAGAGGATAAAATTCCTTTTGTATGAAATAGCAAATAGGCTCCCGGTTTATTCCCACCTGCATCTCTGATGGCAGAGCTACACCTTTATGTAGAACCTCAACTCTAGTTGGAAAACATTTTATCTATGTTTTAAACAAATTTAAATACAAGGGTATGAAAGCAGTCTTTATGGTTGTTTTCTAAAATTAAGAAGAAGTAATAAACTTATTGATGTGTTTTCAGAGAGTGCTCTGAAATTCTCACAGGTTTGACCTTTCTCAGTTTTCAGAGGACCCACTAGATTAGAAATTTTTGATCTAATGAGTCTTTGGGTCTATACTGAGTCTAGTTTGATATTCATAGACCATAAAGGCAAAAAGGACTGCTGTGATTTAATCTAGCTGACTGAGTGAAAGAGTTCATTGGACATTCCCAGAAAATCGTGAGCTACAGTAAAGCTTTTGAAATAAATCAACAGTAGATATTTATAGTCATAGTGGCCCTCTCTCTGGTGCTTTTCATGCCTGTTGCACTAACAGGAGGCATGCAATATTTGCATAGCCATTGAGTGTGAAGTTGACTGTTTTCCTTTGTTTTTTTAAGTTCTTAACTGGCTCTTCACTCTTAAGTCTTTATTTGTCTTTAAAGACATCGACAACAAAGTAGAAAAGCTTTACAAGATGCTTTTGGGGAGAGTCACAGCACTGGAACCTCATAGTTTCAAGGACAGAGCAGAAAAAAAATCCTGTGAGAGAACTATCCTTATTAATAATACTGTATAAACCCCTTATGGCTGGAGAAAATTGAGGTACTTGCACAACACCCAATTGCTACTTTCTGCCTTCTCCTTGAAACTGATCTACTTCCTGGTTGTTGTTGTTTTTTCTTTTTTTCCTTTTTCTCAGTTTGACTTTCCAGTGAGGTGTAGTAATGATAGAATGACGCTTTGTTTTTATTCAGCTGTCTAAGCAAACTAGATCATTCCTATGTCTTTTACTTAACATCTTCACTGTTCACTTGTCTTTCCTCCCTGACACCATTATTCAGTGATTATCCCAACAGCTTCCTTCAAGACACTGGTAGCATTTTTTTTAAAGATATAATAGAGCCTGAAGGGTCTCTAAGAACCACAGGGCAGTAATTTCCAGCTGGAGGCAGTCATATGTTTGGATAATGCAGCCAAATCTGATAGAGAGTGTTTGTCCATTGCCTGAGGTCTACATGTGTCAGAAAAGCCCATAAAATCCTGACACAGTCATTCTGGTAATCCATGAAATTATGTTGAGATCTGTCTGGATCTATCCAGAGGAAATAAACAAACAAAAAAACCCAAATGTGTCCCTTTTGCATGTAATGAAGTACAGATTCCGTCCATTTGGGAAATAAAATACATGCCAGAGGAAACGTGAGATTAAGAAGTCAGAACAAATGATATATGTTTTGCTAGTTGTGTTTTCAGTTTTTAAGATATTATTGTTTTTGCAAACTTCCCATATTCTAATAGCAAATCAAAAGCAATGTTGATGAAAAGCATGCCAGGCTGTACCAGATGGTGAAAGAAGGGAAGAAATTGCTGACTGCTGTGAGCTGTCCAGAAATAAGAAGCCAGATTGGGAAGCTGGAAGAGCAGTGGTTGTCTTTAACCAAAAAAGTTGGCCATGAACAACACCAACTTCAAACGTTACTCAAACTCTTGGTCAGGTGGGTATAACTGAGAAAGCAGTTAGAAGTGTCAGCTAGAAGTTAGTTTCTGATCTTCTATAGATGTATTTTCTGAAACAGAACAGTGAATTAATAAATAACATAGTTCTAACTTAAAAATGATACAACGGAAAAAAGAGCAGCGATCAGAAAAGTGGCCTTTTATTACACAGCTGAACTCCTCTCACTGTGCAGGCAAGTGCTTCTCTTCCTGCGTACTTTTGTAGGAAGGATGCTTTGATTGCTGCCATTGCAAAGTCTAGGTGAGAGTTAGCTGCATCGTGCTGCAATGTTTACACTGGAAGTGTTAACAGATGCTCTGGTCATGCTGCCCTAAGCATTTTGGCCTACTACGAATGCAAGCTAGCCGTGATTCCCATGCAAAGGCCTAATGCACCTGTCTGTGCACCTACAGCACCCACCTTACAAACGTTCAAGGCTTGGCTGACATGCTGCCTCAACTTGTGTTGGGCAGACCCAAGAATGCTCAGTGCCTTCACATGGCCCAAGCCACCTGTCAATGAAGTCCTGGCAGTTAGGTGGAGGGAATCTGGGGGTCTGCAGCCTAGTCCACCCACTGATGAACAGATCTCAGCTCTCCCTGCACCTGGTGTTTGTGCTCTGAGTTCAGGCTTGCTGGACCCATAGCGTGGACAGAGCATGCCGGTGTTTGTTGGTATTTACCCCTGCTGTGTATTCTGCACTTATATCTTGCAGTATGTACAATCTCCTGTGGTGGCTTTGATCTCCAACAAAGCTCTTTCAACCCATATGAGCTTGTCCTGGCAGCTGCTGGGTGAATATGGAAAGGGGATGTTTTCAGGGAGAGCAGACCAGTAGAAGAGAGATGACATCCCCATGTGTTGCCTGATCTAGTTGACAGGTGGCATCCCTGGCGACAGGGAGGCTGGATCAAAAATGATCTCTAAGGTCCCTTCCAGCCTAGGCCATTCTATGATTCTATGATTCTATGACATGGACAGTCTCACGTGTACCTCCAGCAGAACTGCTGTGTTGCACATTGATCCATGCTGTAGCCGTGCTTCCACAGGGTTAAGTAGCAACATAGGTGCCAGAATAGCGCGTACATCCTCACAGAGAGGAGGACAACCTGGAGGGTGAGAAGTGTGTCCTAGACTCGTCAAGGAGATATATGTTTGTGTGTTTTGTTTCCTCCTTGTAGCTACAACAGAGACTCAGAGGAATTGATGAAATGGCTGGATTCTGCTCAGCAGAGAATGAATTTTTGGAATGAGCAGTCTCTCAACGTGTCACAAGATCTTCCCACCATCAGGGATAACATCAACAACTTGTTTGTAAGTCATTTCTCCTGCCAGGTGCTATCCTCTCTTTGTATGACTAACCAGGAGATTCAGCCCCAGTATGAGGCCTGCCAGAGAGACTATTGCACAGTAGTAAAGAAAAGCATTGTGAAGGTTCGTCTGGTAGGTATGAGCTGCCCAGGGACTCGAGAACTGAGGTTGCTTCTTGGACCTCTGTGTGAAGTGGGGATTGGGATATTCCCTATCCCTGTGGAGCAAAAGGTGGCATTCAGCATTGTATCAAGCTAGACAGAACACAGCCTTACCTGCTGCCAGAACATGTTGAGTTTAAGTTTTCTGAACTTTACAAACTTGCTAAAATGTGTTTGTTGAGGCTGTTTATCCCATGACTGAAAACCTGGTTCGTCTTCTTCATTTAAAAAGATATATAAATATTTACCTTCTCTTAAATTTCTCCCCTGCACCTCAGGCGTTCTCTAAGGAAGTTGATGAAAAATCTTCCCTGAAGTCATCTGTGGTGAGCACTGCCAACCACCTCTTTCATGTGAAGCAAGCTGATACTGCAGCACTTAGGTCATCTTTGGCAAAGTTTGAGCAAAAATGGGGAGAACTGATTACACAGCTCCCAGCCATCCAAGAGAAGCTTCACCAGGTGAGGAGAAACTCCGCTGCCATCTCTCAGTTCAGGCTAAATAATTACTTGAAAATTGCTGCCGATGTTGATTTGGCTGGTCCATAAGGCCCTCAAAGCACCTCTCCTAATTAGCTGTCTGTCTTGCTTCCAGAATATGCCCACTATTGTGCTGCAGTATAATTATTGCAATGTTCTTCCTGGGCTGTTTTGCACATATAAATCATCTTCACAGTTTTATATGGAAGTCTGTTACAATTAGAAAGAATTTTATTTAAAATTTCTGAATTCTCTAACTTTTCTTAAATTAAGTCATATGCCCCTCTGGAGCACAGGGCTCACTTTCGAGTTCATACCCAGATAATTGCAATTATATTGCCTGAGCCTTTCTAAAAATACAAATGTCATCTATTTCTAACAAGCAGAGTGTAGAGGGTTCATTATATGCTTTACCCACAGCTTCAGATGGAAAAACTTTCATCACGGGAAGCTATTGCTGAACTAATGACCTGGCTGGACCACGTGGAACAACAGCAGGAACATGAGGAGCCAATAAATTCTCAGTGTAGTGCTGCCCAAGTCAGAAGTCTCCTTCAGAAGTACAAGGTAAGCGGGAAGCTGTAAGTCCATGTCTTCTGCACAATGTTTGGCTGTAACAAGGATGGAAACAGCTACAGGTGCTGTCATATTCTTCCCCTCACTCTCAGGAGGATTCCTGAAACAGTCTCGAAGGTGCCTTAACAACATCTTCCTTTATAAAAACCCTTTTGCTTCCATGTCGCACAAAACACTGCCTGCCCTGTAATATGGCTACTGCCTGCTGTGCTATAATGACATTTTCCTCATTCTGTCCCATCTGTCTCACTTGTTCTCTTTCTCTTACATTTAGATTATAAAATGTGTTTTGTAATGAGCAGGAAAGCTTTGCTACCTTAGGAAGATAGACTCTGTGTTTGTACTGGGTTTTAGTCTGTCTTTTCAATAAGGAATACCTCGTAATGCAGCTCCATAACCAGGATCCATTTAACTGAAGATCAGGGTTTTTGAATACTATGTTTTATTGAAAGAAATAACCTGCTAGGAAAGAGGGGCAAGGTGAACATCCCTGCAGAGAGAGGGAGGCTGCAGCAGGCTCTTGTCTCTGTTCAGATGCTAAAGCACCAATGGCAGGGGCTGATTGCCCCAGCCCAGGAAGGATTCAAGCCTTGCTTGTACCTCCATAGATGCCAGGGAGCCCAAGCTCGGGGCAGGAATCCCTGCAGAGCCATGTTTTGCTCTGCCCTTGCAGAGCTACCGAGCAGTGCTTTGGGCTCAGACAAAACAACAGTTCTCAGTCTACAGCTGCAGTTCTTAGGCATTTTGGTACTACATATAAGGCAAGTGCCAACACAGGCATTTCTTTCAAAGTGCCTTAGTGTAGCAGATATGTAACATTCTGGTCTGTATCAACTGGATTTGACAGTCGGAATGTGTAGGCGAGGTGCTATTTTTAACCCTTTGGATACTTAGAGATCAGCTTGTGTGTCTTCTGCACTTGTCAGCGACATGGGGATGTATACACTGAGAAGAAAGCTGGGATGAAGGTCATGAATTCCTACGGGGAAGCAGCTATGGCTTCAACACCTCTGCTGTGGTATTCCCTGGTGGCTTTTTTCTGGGTACTGCTAGATACAATGAGGAGCCCTTTCCTCCCCTCTTCTTCAAAGACCAAAGGCATTCCTTTATGTCTTCTCATGTACGTGTAGCTTCTCACTTGTCTCTGTGGGCAAAGACCCTGGTGCTGGAGGGTGCTTTTTTCTCACAGGTGTTCTGATACCAGATATTTTGACAAAGGAACATAAGCTCTTGCCTTCACTTGTCTATGAGACCCAGTGTGTGGGAAGGCCTCAATCTTAGCCTAATCTGAGCCCATGGCAGTGTGATGGAAAGTCTGGTACCCCTAGGTTTTATTCCTTGCTCTGGCACTAGCCTGTTCTTACCTTGAGCTGCCCACGTAATGATAGTGATTTTCTGCAAAAGTTTCAGTGAAATAGCTACACAAATATAGAATGAGAATTATTCCTACAGCCAAGTCTCTTTCAGAAAAATATTTTAGGCCATGGTTAAGAATAAGCCATTAATGTCCCATAACTATGCCTTGAAGCAGCATTGGAACTGATCATATTAAAACTTCCAAATTTATTGGTCTACATTTTTATTTGTTTTTATTTTTTTGCCCTCCAGGAATATATGATGGAAATGAACTTCAAACAGTGGATAGTAGATTTTGTTAACCAGTCACTCCTGCAGATGAGCACTTGTGATGTGGAAAGCAAGCGGTATGAAAGGACGGAATTTGCTGAGTGTCTTGGAGAGATGAACCTGCGGTGGCACAGGCTGCAGGCATCTCTGAACAGAAAGGTTTGATTGAGTTCTCATTGCTTTCTCTCTCACAACTCTGATCTTGCCTGTGCCAGTGCTCTGTTTTGCAAGCAGCCTTTCTCCCTGAGCCTGAAAACGCCGTTGAATACCCTGTGCTGTCTGCTGTCTGTCTGTCCTGCTGTTTCACAGGCAGCCTGTGGAGTGGTCTTGCAGCACATCAGCTATCAGGTGGCAGGCAAGCATTCAAACCTTAGCAAAATCTGGGAGGGTAAACTCTCCTGTAACTTGCAGGGTGGGAAAATAGACAGAACCTGCTCTTCATGACAGCCTGAGATTTACCTTACTTGACTCGATTAGGTTCGATGAGATTCCTCGTATAAACAAAATACAGTCAGTGATACGTCAACAAAGACCTATATTGTGAAAACTATGGAAAAGGAAGAATTCAGGGCAGTGTCTGCAGGGGAACCTGTTAGTGAAATCTGTTGAAGCTTTGAGGTGCTGTGACAGTTTGGCCATTTAAAACTCAATGGGAGAGAACACTGTGATGGTTTGCAGAAAGGAGAGGTGCTACACTGCTTGGTACAAACAGCCAGACACTTCTCAGCAAACACAGCACCAAAAAAAGCAAACAACCCTTCCTCATGCCATATGATGGGAATGAGAAGAAGGGATATCTTAAGCTACCACCCATTTTCCTGTTGTAGCAGTTGGATGTGCCAAAAAAAGTAATTAAGTAAGCAGTGTTTGCAGCTGTATTCAGATGGGGACCTGTGACCCTGCTGGAAAAGGCACAGCAGGGATTGCTTCCCAGCACTGCTCCAGCCTTCTTGAGTCACTAGAAATGGGTTACTCTGTGTCTGTCTTCTCCTTCCACAGAAATTAAATGTGCTTTCCCAATGGCGTGCTTTGGAGATCAGAGGCTGACAGGCAAATTCTACGTGTAGACTAACTATACCAGGACACCTTCTGTGTTTCTCTGCATAAAATCTGTTTCAGGCAGTGCCTCAGAATTAATTCATTCAAGTGAGGCTAGAAATAGTCCATGCATCCAGAATCAGATGCTGCTGTTTGTGTGCCCCAGTGCACAAAAAACCTAGAGTGACTCATGTGCTATGGAAAAGAGCAGGAGAAGGTTAGCATCCCAAAATGCAAACATGAGGCTGCTGGAATGAATCCTCACCACAATTTTCTTTCATCTCTGTTTCTCTCCTGAATTTACAGAGCTTTGGGAGAAACTGTCCTCCCTGAATCCAAAGACACAGAAGCATTTGCAAGGGGAAAATTCAATTCCTGCACAATTGGAAATTTCCATGACGAAATTTCAGGGGTTTTGGGGGAAAGAAGTTATCTTCTCTAACCATTTTCAAGAAACTGCATTCTAAGGTTTAATGAATCCTCAGGGCCAAGACTGAAGATAGGAGGCTTGAGGTCCCTTGCTGATTATTACTAACTTTCTTGGTGGGTTTTAGGGAAAATGAGGTTTTTGGATGCCGTATGAATCTGTGCATGTAGCCTAGGGACCCCCAACTTGTCAGGTCAGCAGGCTGCCAGCTCCAGAACTTACACTGGCTTGTTTTCTTCCCAGGGAAAAGGTCAGATCCTAAAGAAATTTTCCTTTCAAAATGTTTTCTCTAGATAGTATTTTCAATGTAAATAGTGCAATTTCAAATTCTGTCATAGAAGGAGGACCTCTGTTTCAGCCCACTTCTAGGTTTAAGTAAGTTAAAGTATTTCTGTAACTGTCAGATACAAGACCTGGAACACATTTTGGAGGATATTACTGAAAATGAGAACAAAGCACAGAATCTACGCAACTGGCTGGAAGCTCAGAGTGACCGACTGAGATCTTTACAAACTCCAGCAAGTCTGATCTCTGCACAGAACACATTAGATGACTGCAAGGTAAAGCATTATATGTATATTATTGTAAAAAACATATGTAGCACTTTGCTGACTCCAGACTAAAAAACTGCACTGATTTTAACAGAAAAAAAAATGTAAAGGAAGTTGCAATTTCCTAGCAGAATGCTACAATATAACTTTAATTAAAGCATGTTAGGGTCAGATGACAAAGAGCCAGATTCACTTTTAATGTGAATTGCTATTTTATGGGTTTTTTTCCTCCAACTGAAGATGCATCTGCTTTTGTTCCATGGTATTTGGAGTGTTGTGCAGCAACATTGTAGATCTTATTCTGAGATGTCTCCAAAAGAAGTAGCTCTCAGTTCAGCACTGCCATGGCAAAACCTATCAATTCCATTAGTCTGAAGAGCTCTGCAGTGAAAGTGTTGTGGAAACTTCACAGTCCCATTTGGAAAAACAGCAACTCTCTCTTCTCTCGCCCCAGAAGGTAGTCTCTCTGCACCAGCCTCAAGAATCTGGATGTTCTTTGGGTTTGCTGTGTTTTTCTAGGCATCAGCTCTCTCAAAATTAGTACAGGTGCAGCCAGCTAATAACTGGCTCCTATTACTCTGACATTCTGCTGTTTTCATTCAGTACAGTGCTCCCTCTCTCTATTTTTTAACACAGATTATTTGTTCTTTCATTGCCATGGTTACGTGTGTCTCTTGTAGTAGGCTGCTTTTATTGCCGAGAGTGCTCTAATACACATCAAGTTACTTGTCTCTCTAAAGCGTATTGAGAGGCCAGCAAGGTACAGTGCTAAGATGCAGGTGGCTAGAATGTTTCATTAAAAATCATTTGCTCAGTAGAAATGAGGTCCAAATTTGATAATGTTTTGGAGACAGTAAGTGGGAGAAGAAAAAAGTTTGTGCCTTGAAGTGCAGTATTACAGAAAAATGTTACAGCCATTGTGAGTATGGATATTTACTCATGTTTTGAAGTACTACGGAGTTTTTCCCATTGTGTCAAGACTTGCTCATAATCTTGCTGGTTGTGTTAGGGGGGAAGTTATTCTCCCAGACATCTCCATTGATTTCAGTGGAGTTTCTTCCACAGGAGAAAGCCTCTGACCAAGAAGACAAACTGAAAATAACTTTCTAGAAGTTGTTAGGATATCAGGGACCATCATATTGCAAAATCAGTTCCTATTCAGTCTAAATTATAAATTAGTCTGCTGGAGCAGAAGGAGACCCAAATGCTAACCTGCCAAGCTAAAGCTCAGCTGTGTTAGCCAAAGAACATTTTGCATCTGGAGAGGTACAGAGAGGCCTGTGTGGCGGCTGAGGAATTAGCTCCTGAAGATTTCCTTCCCAAACATGATGCTCATGCTGATAGTAAATGGACTGATTCTCGCTCTTCCTGCAGGAGACTGTTATGATTTTGAATTTCTGTAAAGCAGTTGTTCTGTGTCAGAGTTGAAATAGTGGTGGTGTAGCATGGCTGAAGAATTACATAGAATTGGTTTTAAAGATGAAATGTTTATTTAAGCTCCTCATACGGAAGGTTTGTGGTTTTTTTCTAGGGTCTCATTAAAAATCTTATGTATCTTTTTTTTTTTTTTTTCTGTTTTCATTTAGGAGTTAGAAAATCAACTCACTACTAAATCTGAAACTCTTGATGAGCTCAAGCAGAGTGTGGCTTTCAATGGCAGTGCAAAACAAACCCCAGAAGCCCTATCTCTCAGGATACCTAAGCTGTGTGAAATGATGGACAGCATTGGAAGCCAGGTAAAAGCTTTGTTTGCATTCAGATTTCCTCAACTACATATTCTTACCACCAGTGTTACTAATCTTCTTCATGGGACAGCAGGAGCTGGTACAAAAAAGATGCAGAATATTCCTTAATCTTAACCTTCCTAAGAACTTAATTTTGTCTTTACCATAATGTAAATTAATGTATTTCTAAGGTTGAGAGAAAAAAAAGAGTCTGATGTTGAAGTAGTTTGAATAAAGGGGGAGGAGGGACAGACATCCATCTAGTTTAAGAAAATAAAGAAATAGTACTGCTATTTTTCTGAGAAGTTGAAAACGAAAATCTTAAACCCTCTTTCTCAATCCATTTCTCTTTCATACCCTGGTCTTTCTCCCCTGTGGTACACTGGTGAAAGCTGCCTACTCCTGCCCCATTCTCACTGCAGCTTTTCCGTCTACCAATTAGTCTTTCATCCGCACACATGGATGGCTTTTGTTGTCTTTAAATCCTATGTATTTCCAGCTGCTTCAAGAAGAGTCTGGCAGATTGGTTTCCCATGCAGATTGACTCCCCAGGAGTTTGCATTTATATTATCTTTATACTTAGAACTGATCTTTTTAAATCTAGATGTAATTAATAATGAGTACAGTTACAGATTTAAATTTGTGATAGCAAATAACCATGTACTATGGAATATTACACATAATGCAGTGATAGTGTTGATAGTTAAGTTTCCTTTACACTTTCTATTACAAACACCTTGCTTTTGCTCCTCAGAACTTTGTGAAACGTGAACCGTTTTACATGAACTCCTCTGCATGAGGTGTCAGTCCAGGAGGGGTCTGCTGCTTCTCGGTTTAGATTTCAACAGAAATGATGTAGCTGTTTCTTACCAAGAAAGCAGAGAAAATTTTGTGTATGTACCTGATCAAAGTTTTTCCTTCTGCTGTAGAGCTGGGGATTGAAATTGGCAGGATTTTGACAGCCTAGTGCTTCTTTCTTCTTCTTACAGTAGCTATGGGTCATGCTAATTTTAGTATTTTTGTGATTAAAGTATCAAACTTAAAAACTGCAGAATGTTCTCACAGCCTAGTTATCTGCATGTACAATGAAACACTGACTGAGGCTTTCTTCCCACTGGTGACTGTTCTCAGCAGAGCTAGACTGTGATTTCAAATACAGGTCTGAGGAGATGTGATACCATGATTATACTGTCCGTAGGTTGGTCTAAAGACTGTGAGTCTGTGGCCCAGAGACATCTCGCGAGCATGATGTCTTTCCATCTTCCTTGTGTGGGCAGTAATGAGCTAAAGGCTACAAAAAGCAATTAGAGGTTCCTCCCACCTATACCATGATTCAAATGAGAATAGGATGATTAATCCATCTACTCCTTCATGCCTGGAACTACGATACAATGATCCACAGTCTCTTTAGCGTGCACTACGGTGTAGAAAGGTCTTCATCTTCCACTGTGTGGATGCGTAGTCATAACTGAAATCTGGCGTCTGGCTTTGCCAGATCCCATGGAGACATACTTGTTCGCTAGTTGGGTTTTCATGTTCTTCTCAAAGTGTCTGGTACTGGCATGACTGAAAATAGATATCGAACTAGATGACTGTTTTGTTTAAACTAGGACATGCCTTATGTACTTCCCTGATACAGTAGGACAGAAATTACAAATCACACTGAAGGACGACTCTTGATTTTGTGTTTGCAATGTCTAAGATTATGTGGCAAATGGAAACCATGCTTGCCCCAGTAGAGCTTAAATGACTGTAATAATGAAAGAGACATAGAAAACAAAGAGGATATCCATTATTTAATTTTATATGAGAATCCTGAAGTTCCTACACTGCTATTCAGGTGAGCCTGCATTATTGGAGCACAATGGCATAAGAGGGATGACAGGTCTCTAGAGTATTGTAGTAGCTTCTTCTTCCATAAAAACCAATCTCTATTCAAATTTTCATTGATCTCTGAATCAAACTGTCTGCTTCTGAAGAAGATAAAGGCTCTCAACTTCTTCCCACTTCAAGGTGATTTGGCAGGAAGGAATAAGCAGTTCATTATGTTAGTATGTTTTACTTTTGGGGGGGAGGTCTGAAGCTGTGGCTGACGGAATAGTGCTACCCTGAACTCTGGTTAAATTTTTATTTTCAGCAAATTCTTATACTTCACTCTGACTACTGTTTACTGCTTAATTTGAAGTTTGCACAGTTCCTCACCAAGTAGGAAAATAGTCCAACTTGTAAAATTCTTGTCAAGGAGTGAGCATTTAAAGGTGATTTATATGTCAGGACTACCCAAGAAATAGTAACCAAAGTGGTTCATTTGCAGGTTTCACAGTTAAAAACCTCAATGCAAGCAATACTGGAGCAGTGGAGAGTATATGATGAAGTTTATGCAGAAGTCAGCCTGATGATAACAAGATATTTGTACTACGTAGACCAGTGCAAACCTTCTGTGGTATCACTGGAAGCTTTGAAAAATCAAGTCAAAACTCTCCAGGTAAATGTACTGAAGTTGTCTTATTTTTGTACTTCCTTCTGCACCTTTAAAGAAACAAACAAAATCCATTGGGAAAAAAAAAAAGAAAAAATTAGCTGAGCAACTTGATTTTTATTACAGCGCCATTGAAGTCAGTGGATTTTATTTTTTTTTTACTTCCAAAGGCATTGAGGATTATTTTGTTATTTTAGATTATATTCAGCACATAAGTTCAACTTTGATGCAATTTAGGTACCAAGGTTCCAGAGAGAAGTACAAGTCAGCTGCTGCCATGTCTGCTTTATTGTGGGCTAGCAGAGCCTCCATTATGGATTGCAAAGATCTCTTCATGTCTTCTGCACCTGCTGGAAGACATCCCCATAGGAGCACCAGGTCCTCATGCTCCCTTGCACTACAGGGTCCAGATGGACTTGTACACGCCACCACCAACCCTCATGCTAATGTCTATTCAGTCCACTCTAGTCCACCTGAACAGCAGAAAGTCTGGCTCAAAATACAGCCGGAAAAGGAAAACCTAATGCCATCGCTGTATGTCTTTGCCTAAAGGTTCTCAGCTCATTGACTGAAAGCAAATTTGCCCCTTTTCTTATGCTTCCCAAGGAAATGCCCTGCCATAAGGCTGTAGTGTAATGTGGAAGGAGATGCCTGTGCATTGATGCTGGGACTCTGTGCAGAAATGACGGGGACCTGGGAGAAAAATGGTGAAGGGACCCTGTTTCTACATCTATGACCACTGACGCATTTTGCATTAAAGCATTATTCACATTAAAGCATCTTTCCATGTGTAAACAGCACTGGACTCAAGGTCCAGGACCCAGGATTCTCATTCCTAAAAGCTATGCCTTGGGTTGGGCAGGTGCAGCTGCTCTGATGCAGAGCATGGGGATCCCTGAGCCTGGTATTTCCAATCTCTGCAGTGCAAGATCAACTGTTCAGTCGCCCTCCAGAGACCTGGAGATTCCTGCACAGCCTCTGAATGATGCTGGGCATAAAGGATGGGCATAAATCAGAGAATCATAGAATGCATTGGGTCCCTGCAGGGAGCAGGGACATCTTTAACTAGATCAGGTTGCTCAGAGACATCCTGCTGCTTTGCTTGGCTGTTAGGGAGTCTCAGTGGGGCATCTAGAGTAGGCAGTCAGGTTGGCCATGGGTCTGAATGTTTTACAGATATGGCTAAAATCTGGTGTTGAAAGGCTGTGTAAACGCTCCTTGTTTCAGTGTAAATAAGGGCTGTTTTGGTTTATTTTCAAGTTATATCACAAGTGGTGCAGGACAGACTGAGGCTATCCTGTGAGTCCCAGGTATGTGTGTCTCATCAGTAAAGCCTGCATAAATACTTTCCACCCTCACCTAGGGGTGCATAGTAAATGGAAGGAACCAGACACCTTCTTACTCCCTCCTTCCATCAGCCTCTTTATTTTTGATCTGAATCAGTTCACAGATACGATCCATGGCAGGGTTCTGCAATTGCCTTTATCAGGAGGGGTATCTGGGAATGGGAGTTGTCCAGCCAACTTGAATGCCAGTAGAAATTTCCCTGAAACAATGGCTTAAAATTTTGTAAAAAGTTTTCTAGTGAAATAATTTCATCAGTTCAAGGTTGTGGATTTGTTAAATGAGCTGTTTCTTTAAGAGCAAATAAATGACCTCAGTTTAAAATAGGCGTTCTGAATGATTTCTTAACTTGGACCATTTCACCTCTTCTAGCTTCCTAATTTTTAGGCTCAAGTGATACATTTTTCACAAACATTTTAATTTGTACTACAAACATGTGGCATTATTGCTACCCTATCCCTACAGTATATCATTCTATATAGGGGAAGCTATACTTTGGCCGTTCGTCTCCACAACTAATTGCAATAATCTATTTTGCAGTCTCTTCAAGATGAATCAGAGAACAGTGAAGAAGGCTGGGCCAAGCTCCAGGCTGCTGCCAGTAATCTGAAGAAGAACTGCTCCCCCTCCTTTGCTGAGATTGTTGAACAGAAGTGCACGGAGGCACACGCTAGGTAAACTTGTGAAAAAGGCCCTCAGTTACTAGTATTTTCTGTTACCAAAAGAAAAAAAAAAGTAGCTGAGGCAGGACTTGAACATCCGTTAGATTTTTAAATCTATATTAATATGACTCCTCTGTCTAAGGATGAGGAGTAGCTGATACTGCCTTTCTCGTGATGGATCACAGAGCTCAAAATGGTGCTGCCTCAGCAGGCTCTCGGTAACATGAATGCAAAGAAACTCCCACAGGAATCCTGCACCAAACATATTCTGAAGGAGAATCTACTAGGAAAATGCTCTTTTCCTTTGATATGTTGGCAGGTGGAACTCAGTAAATGAAGACATCACAGATCAACTGCAGGCAGCACAAGCAACCCTGCAGCTTTGGGAGCCCTTCGACACTTTATGCACCGAGGCAGCAGCCAAGTTACAGCAGCACAAAGAGCAATGTGCTCAGTTCTTGGACACTCACGTGCCTGAAGATAACACAATAGAAACCCTGAAGCAGAGGATACAGGATATAAAGGTACATGAATATGTTCTTACTGCTTGGTACAAACCAGGATTTATTTGGGAAAAATAAAAGAAAACCTTCCTCCCTTGTCGTCCTCCAAATCCAGCCAGTGGAAAAGATAAATTCTGTGGGGTTTTTCCATTAACCACCACCTTTGTATTTCCTTTAAATACTTTGACCAGATCCTGAGACCCAAGCAAACTAGAGTTAGCATAGGATGAGAAGAGAGCGGAAGGGAGCAATCAGATTCCATATGTGCCGTCTTTTGCTCTGTACAAAGAATCAGACCTGTGTTGAGAGGAATCATTAAACCAAAGATTATTTACTTTATAGGGCACTACTTGGGAGGAGAGATTATATCTACTAGAACAATATCTGTGGCAAAAAGACACAGGACCATCTTAGAATCATAGAATCATAGAACAGTTTCAGCTGGAAGAGACCTCCAAGATCTTCGAGTCCAACCTTTTCCTAGCCCTAACAACACCACTAATCCATGTCCTTCAACACAACATCGGCCCTACTCTTAAACACCTCCAGGGGTGGTGACTCAGCCACCTCCCTGGGCAGCCTGTTCCAAGGCCTGACAACCCTTTCTTGAGGTCTTCTACATTTTTTATATTAGTTTTATTTGAGTTTGGTACTTTTTTTGACCTGGTCTGATAAGTTCACAGATTTCTGAGCTCATTAGATTATTCTAAATGCTTCTTTCTTTAGGCAAATGAGATCTCACGCTGAGACCACAGGGTACACTTGAGTCTTTCAGGCAGCAAAGCTGTCATTAGGTTCTGACATTTTTGGTTTCTTCAGATTGCAATAAAGAACTGTAATAATCTTTATTTCAGGACAGAGCAATGATTCATCCTGCTTTATGAACCGCTAGCCATGTACTGGAAGAAGTCCAAAGTACTCAATTTTGCATGTGGCCAATTAAAAAACTTTACATTATGGGAAAGAGAACTCATATATTTCTTCCTGTGTCAGAAAAAAATGACAGCAGCGGAGCTTAGACCAAAACATTTTCACTTCCTTTTTGTCTATTAATGGCTGTGACACAGATTCATCAATATGTCAGCAAAAAGGCATCACATTTTCTGGCAATTTGGGGGAAGAGTTTTGCAAATTCTAAGCAAGGAATGACCACTAGAGTGCCATTTAGCACTGCAGATCCTGTCCTGCTATGTGTGCGTGTAGGACAAAGGGATTTTGCTGTGTTTTTTTGAAAGTTGTTAGTTAGAAGAATGGAGATCAGTGCTATGGCATATGAGTTACATGTACTTGAAAATGCATGTGCATTACAAAACTGTATTTTAATCTCTCTAACAATTTCCTCTAGTATATATTAGGGAAGATTATGGTTTTATGGAACTGTCATAACAATAAATAAATATAAAATCCTAGAGAGAGAGTAAGAAATCAAAACAGGTTGTTTATTAAATGGCTGAAGTGGCAATTTACAATATGATCCATTCCAAACACAGGGGTGAGGAACGAAGAGCCATTTTGCTTTTTAGGGAATTTAGAAGTCTGATCTTTGCTATCAATCAGTTGTGAATTCCAGGGGAATTCATGGGTAAAACTAAATTACAGTTGTCTAGATCAAAAAAAAAACCACAAAAAACAAACAAGTACACTGAACAAGTATAAAATTAATCCCTTCATTCTTGTACTGCCTTTAGAGTTTAATTTCATAGCATCATTTCTGTAGTAGAGAGGAATAAATGAAACTAAACCCATAGTCTTGAGTCACTAAGAGATCCAAAGTGCTAGTATGTTTGGAACATAATAACATTTCTCATATGCAGCATGGGTGAGCATCTCTATCTGCTAGTGTAAATCCATTCTGTAGAGTGAGATATTTTGATTTCTTGCCCTAATCTCCTCTGTGGCAGTACTATTGCACTGCCTGAAGTCACTGGTGCTCCACTGAACTTTGAACTGTGTATTTCCCAGCACTGGAGTCAATGGATGCAACTCCTATTATCCTCCGAGTAAAAGACTGAAGCTTTCACCACAGATGAATTTGGCTCCTGGAGCTCAACAAAAAGAGCTTAGTTACAGCAACAAAAAATGAAAGTGGCACATGAATGATGATTTGATTCATTTGTTGACTTTTTTGTCTTTCCCCTTCTCTTGTAAGAATTTACAGCATGGCCTTCAAAACATAGCAGGATGCCATACGCAGATTTCTTTGCTGGCTGATCGGATAAAACAGCAGGCTGGGACAGCTGCACAAGCCATTCTGTTGGAGAAGCTGCAGCCACTCCAGAGAGCATCCTATTTGGAAAAGATGTTGCAGAGGAAGTTAGATGAATTTGAGGTATTTTTTCCTTTTAATATTAGATTAGCTGTCACTGTGAGGTAACTTCTTCATTAGAGCCCTGTAGTTCTTGAACTGAAATGAAATTTCAATAAAATGAAACTTGCCAGTATGATCAACTATGTAAAGAAATAATGCATGAAGGAAGGGTTTCAACCTTCTTACCTGCTTGTGTTACTCTAAGGTAAGGAGACCTATTACAGTTAACCAGTATGGGACCCTCAGATGATTAAAGGTTAGGAAATGTATTTTTATTCTATGAACTTCTAAGTAAGTTGTAAACTTTCTCAATTCTGCCTTAGAAAAAACCTAAGGGCTTCAGTCTGCTTTGGTAACGGTGCACAAAGTGTACCTAAACCCAAAGAGAAAGCTGCAGTCATTTGATGTAATTTTGAAGGTCAGATTTAAATCCCAATTTTGAAGACTAGATTTACATCCCTGTTCAAGCAGGGTAGGGAGGGACCTGGATTCAGGTTTCCCCACTCCTCACAGGAGTGCTGTGGGATTGACACAGCACAGATATTCCTGAGTAAACTTCCAAGCAAATGTACTGCTGTACATTTACAGAGGTAAAACCAGTTTGTTCCTGTAAAAAATCTGGTTTCAATTAGTTGTTCTGTTCTAAAGTAAACTCAAATTCATCAAGAAATTTTCAGCCAGCTCTGGTTAGGACTCCATCTCCCAGAAAGCCATCTGTCTTTGTGAAGATAACAGTTTTTTTCATATTCCCTGTGAACTTCTTGCTCCTTGAAACATTTCATTGCTGGGTAGTTGTTTTCTCTGTTATAACCTGCAGTGTCACCACAGCACTGTCTCTCTCCCCACACCAGTTTTATGCCACTCATTCCTTATTAAAACGTTGCTGTTTCAGTGTTCTTAGAGATGTGGAGCTTAATTCTTACAAGCAAGAAAATGCTTTCCTTGACTCAAAGAAAAAAAACTAGTGAATAAAAAGTTGAATTGCAGCCCTAGTTATTTCTGTCCACAGACCTCACGTAAGCTGCACAGCCTTGGCTGTAGGCTCCTGGGAGCAGGCCCTGTGGGTAGCTCAAATGAAGCTCATTTTCACAAGTTTCTTCCCTCTGATAAGCAAAGGTGGCTTTCCAGTTTCACAATAAATCAAACAGCCTGAAGCTAAGAAAAGGTATCGAAGATGCCCTTATTCCTTCCAGATAGATATGTATCTCTCAGGATTTAGGGATTCAGTTTTTTGCTGTCTGCTTTGGCTTAAATTTTCCCCCTGTACGGTTCAAAAATGGAGAAAAAATCACTAAGCATGTTACAAATATACTGGAATTTCAATTTAACATCTGTTTATTTTCCTGATAATAATGCTTGTTGCTCCTTTTTGTATACTGAATATGTGTATTAAATCATAATTAACTGTGCAATATTCACCCTAGTTCAATCTTTTACAACTGGAGGATTTCAAGAACTGCCTTGAAACGCTGGAGGGTCATGTCAAGAATTGCACAGATGCCTTCGATAGTCTCTGTCTAGAAGGAGAAGCAGATAACTCAGAATTGCTCGTGGTATGTTTGGATTCCCAAGTACAAAAGGATTTAAGTGTCCACAGGATACCAGGTCTTGCCTACTTCAAGGAACTCTTTGTGTCCTAAGTACCATAGTTTAGCACTTCCTTCAGGGGAACTATAATCTCATCCAAAACACAAAAAGCAACGATTTAAGTTAATAAAAACTCTAGATATGCATTGCAGGCAAAACGCTTGCATGAGCTGAGCAAAAATATATAGATTTTAGGTTACTGAATCTTTTTCCCCAGCTTTACTCTGGAGCTACCCTGTTGCCCTCAATGTAGGGTACAAAGTAAATCTGCACGTAGCAGCTCCCGAGTATCTATTCAGTCCTGTTGGAAGAGTGGGCCCTGTGTAAGGGAATTGTGATTTTTTTTTTTAAAGTACCCTATATTTTTTTAACTTAACTAAGAAATCTTGGGATTTTTAGGGTTAGCATTCTGGATGCATAACATTCAGATGCTTCCTACAGAAGAGGCTTCTGTAGTTCTTTGAAATGAAGGAAAGGCAGTATATTTTGCAATTAATTAGTTTTTTTTACTTCCAGAATCACACGCTGGAGCTTGCTGCACTTTCTCCACGCATAGAGAGTTTGAATGAAACGAGCATTAAGCTGCCACTCAGTGACTTCACCCTGAAGAAAATACAGAGCCTGACTCGGCAGTGGAGTCAGAAAACAGCAGCTGCTCTGGAATGTTGCAGGTCCGAAATACAAATCACTACTAACCATTTCCTTTTCTTTAATTTGGTTTTGAGGAAAATCAAAACCAAACTAAAGCTTTGGAAGCCTTGCAATCTGTTCTCAGTTTCTACTGGGGCTTTCCAAGTTGAATTCCTGCCCTTTCAATTTATAGTGGGTATTTGTATTCCACGTCACTTGAAGCAAAAATCTGGATGTTCATGGCTGCAGGTGGTAGCAAAGTGCAAGTAAAACCCTAGTATGTTAGTATTACTAACCACCATGTTAGACCATATGCAAACAGACCCAGAAAAACAACTACCATGACAAGAGTTGCTGATTATTTCTTTTGTTTTTCAGTATGCTTGAGGGAACTCAAAATGATGAAAAGAAATTCTTTCAGAAATGTGAAAACTGGATGAAATTCCTAGAAAAAATGAAAGAAGCCCTAAAAACAAATATTCCAGGACGGTTTGAAGAACTGCAAGAGCAACAGAGAGTATATGAGGTGAATTTAACTCTAAAAACGGAAGCATCATCTTGAATGGTGAAGATGGGGCAAGTCGCTAGAAAATGCCTTTTGAAATTAGATGTGGGCAGAGTTTTACAGACCATTTCATTCTTGAAATGTGAACTTGCACTTATTCAGAGGAAAACTTCGAAATGTGAAAATCTTTTTCCAAAATGTATGGAACCCCGCAGGGAGCAGACCTTTAGGAGAGCATCCTCAAGTGTTGTGTCATGGAAGTCCTAGATTGCTCCAGTCTGAGGTTACTTGCCTGTCTGCGTGTCTCAGAGCACCAAAGCCTGTGGAAACTGGCCAGGCAGTTTGCTGGTGATCTGGCAGGAACCTTACCGGCTTTTAAAAAAAAATGTTTTCATAGCATATTTCCATTTTTCCAAGTTGTTAGATTTTCGTAGAAATCTGTTTTGCTGGCATTTTTACAAACACCTGCTATTTGTTGCAGAGAGATAGTGCTTCACACGTGTCTGGCAGCGTCTATTCCGAGGAGCACTGCGTGCTAGTAGCAGCATGTGGATGAAATTCTAAGCAAAGTGTCTATCTATAGACTTTGTTCTTATGGTGGGAGATGGAAGAACAACCAAAATACAGAAAAAAAAACACCATGTGGTGAATGCTAAATATCATGAACTGTTAGGGTGAGCTTTGTGCTGCCACTGTGGGCCACAGCTTCACGCTACCCAAAGTACTGTGGCTGATTCTGTGGGGTATTAAGTGTCTACACGTCAGTGATATTTGTTAGAGTCCATAGAAAGGTATTGCCTCTCTTACTTAGACCCCTGCAAATCCATTCATTCATCACAATGAAATTATTTATAGAATAAACTTTTGCTCGTTGTGACAAAGAGTAAGTTCACCCTTATGTGTAGCTTTTTTATACCTTTTCTATGGGTTTCTGTCTAGATTACATTTCTCATGAATGAGGGCAGCAAATTTTAGGCTTCATGTTACCTGGTGGGTTCTGCTATTACATACATGCACATTCCTCCTGGTATCCAAAAAGTGGGGAATCTTTTAGAATGGTTTTGACACTAGCACTTCAAAATAATAAAGCTTTCAGCATTTGGAATTAAATAAATGCTAGAGGAGTGGAACTAGCTTTCATTGCAAAGGTTGCTCAGTGAATAATTAAAACTTGTTCTCATGGTATTTTCAGATGCTGCAAACTGAGATTTCCATAAATCAGCAGATATTTAATTGTATCATAGCAAAAGTTCTACTCTCCTTGGAATCTGGAGAAGCAGAGAAAAGGTAATCTATTTGGTTTTCTCCCTAAGATCTTAGCAATTCAGTGAATATGCTTCCTTCCTTGGAGCTGACGTTGAATCTTTGCTCTCGTGAGGACATAACCCAAATTTTTGACTGGGTTCACTCTTGAAATAACCTCCTGGCACATTTTGCGAAAGTGTGAGGAGGTGCAGTGAGGAAGAAACACAGATGTCCTGGCCAGACTGCATTTGGATAGTAACTGAGGGTTCCGCGTAACAAAAATCATTACTCCTGAGCACGTGGTTTCACTGTCTTTTGCTACCCAGCAGTTGTCAAAACTGTAACTGTGTTTGAGAAGCTACCTCCTTACAGAGGGTAATGAGGCTGCTGCGTATGAAGCATCCTTTCTCTTTTCCTAGACCTTTCTGAAGTGCAGAGGTGTGAGACTCCCCGTGTTGGCCCTGGCACACACGACAGGGCATTGAGTCATCGGCCAGGCGACTCAAACCATGTGGTGGCTAAACCTGTTTTTTATCCGTATGATCTTATGGTTTTAATCGATGTAGGTTGAGAAGCTGAAAGTAATGTTTGTGAGCAGTGGTTCAGCTCTCTCAGGTGTTTCTGTGATCATGTTACCTCTCTCTGCCAGAGCTTCCTGCTTCCAGGGAGCTGGCAGGACAGTGCATGTGTGCTCCCCTCAGCCACTTCAGTTTGAAGTCCATGGCTTGGCTTAAAGCCACCAGGGAAGGTGGTGCTAAACTAAGCAAAGCTGCTGGATTTTTGTGTGGAAGGTAGCCCCCACACACAGGTGTTTGTATAAGAGCTAATCTGGGGGCCATGGCCTCCTGCAGGGGGGCAGAATTGATAGATGGTTGTCTTCATCACTCCAGCTAGATCTGATGGGTCATCTAACCATGTTGTAGGAGAGCCCAAAAACTGCTTTAGTGGGTTCAATAACAACATAGAACATTTTCACTTTGCAGTTAGATCCCACTGCTGTGGGATACAATGATGGCTGAACTCCTGCCTGCAGCCTGATAAAAGCACAGATCAATTTTGCAGCATAGTCAGAGACCTTGTCTCACTTGCTTTGACTTTCTTGTTCTTCAGAGAAGTGTTTAGTGCATATTGTTTCTGTGATTGCTGTACTATATATGTTGCTATACCATAATAGCAAGAATGTGTTGCATTATCCATTCTTGTACCTTGTAAAAGGTTTTCTGATTGCTCAAAAGATAGAACACAGAGAGCACAGCTGAGCTTAGGGCTGCATAGAGCTTTGTGCATAGTTGGGCATTGTAATTAGAATACGATGCTGCAAATGGAAATCCATCACAATTACTGCAAAATGCAGCTTTGAGGTCAATCTATATTAACACTCAACGCTTACCATTTTCAGAACGGAGTTTATTTCCAAGCTCACATTGGTGAAAGAGCAGTGGCAGAACGTTATCCGGATGGGTCAGCAGAGGAAGAAAGATATCGATGAACTTGTGAGCCAGTGGCAGCTCTTCAGGAGTTCCCTGCTGAGTCTCAGCAGGTTTCTTGCTGATACGAACAGCTTCGTCGTAGCTGTGAAGAGCCAGGACTGCTATAGCCTTTACCAGCTTAGAAATCTAATTAATGATTTCAAGGTACATTTATTTCTCATAAATCTAAAATCTGTGGGGTTTTTTCTCAGACTGAAACAACTTCTGTCCAGCAAGGTAAAAAGCTTTAAGATCACATGCTTTGGGGGGAAGGACAATAACTGACACTTTTTCTTAAAGCTGAGCACAGATGAGAGAAAAATGACATTGTGAAAGGCTTACTATACTAGGAAACAACGGCCAACATTGTCATTTGGTAGCCTTGTATGCTTTAAAGTATTGCTGAGATGAACATGGAAATACAAGATGCCAGGCTGATGAGGCAGAAACCCTGGTTAGGAGGTAGCCTCCAGGTCTGCGTGCGTCTTCTTGACTTGGCTGCTGAATGCAGGCTTTGCAGTTTGCCTGAAGGAAGGAGGCACGTATGTGGCAGGACAGGCCGTACGGGTCCTGGGCGTGCAGGAGGTGCCAGGAGCAGGGGATAAAGCACCTGCAGGGGGATCTGTCCTTGAAGCTGCTGCTCTAGGATGCAGAGATCTGGCCAGCGAGTTCTGCATTTTATGTGCAGTGCAAAAAAAAAAAAAATTTCCTTTGTTAATTTTGGGTATCTCGGTTTTCCATTTAATTATGCACCTCTTTGCTTTATAAGAAGGTAAAAACAAGCAGTGAATTTTATGGATGCTTAAGGCAGTGTAAAGCCTTTCAAAAATACGTCATTGAATGCCATTTACATGGTCCAAGATTTATTGTGTTCCCACACACCTAATGTTGATGGATTAACACATTACCAGTATTCCATTTGGTGCTTGCCCTATTTAGTTCATCTTTATTTTTACCTGCTGTGTAAAAATTACTTTCAGTAGATTTTACAAGTTAATGCTTGTGCTTTTCCTTAGTGAGAAAAGCCAGAAAGTCTTCTTCCTCCTACTTCAAATTGCCCTTCCCTCCTGCTGTTATTTTACAGAAAGAAACAATGATCGTATCTGTAGACTATTTTGTTTTGTACACAAATTACTATTATTATGGCTTACTTCACTTAAGTATGTCATTATTAACACAGCTGTTATCTGAAAAATTTGTCATTGCTGTTGATGCTAGAGATGCTAACAGAAGTTAAACTGGTTTTTTATTCAGATTAACTCAGGCAACTGAACTTCCACCTATTTTTAACTGCTGCACTTTCACTCTGTAGATTCAGTCTGTGAAAGGCTATTGTAGAGTTTTGTAGTTCAGAAGATCAGAAAGAATCTGATTTCTCTGAAATGAAAAAAGCATATGTGAGAAGGTCTATTCATTACTCCTGCATGAACGTGAATAAACTAGTGCCTTGTAATTCCCTTTGTGAGTCTTCACTTCTTCCCACGTGAAATGCTAGGACTGCACTTCTAAAACTTACTAAGAGCAGCTTAGAAACTTAATTTTTTTTTTTCTTTTAAAAGAGCAAGGCAGTGATTTTTCAGAGGTGGCAAACCATGTACTCGTTAATCATCGATGTTGGGGAGAAGTTGCGCACAGTCTCCGATCCCGAGACCAGTGCTGCTCTCCAGGAGGAGCTCAGCCAGTTACAGGAGAGTTGGGGGGACACCCAGCTCCAGCTGGAGAAGAAGAAGATGCAGCTCAGCAGCACCCTACAGGTAGATGATGCCCTCCCCAGTGAGATTTGGCACCTCCACCATCCCCTGGGCTGAGCTCTGTAGCAACAAGGCAAATGTTGGGAGAAAAAAAAAAAATGCTGAGAGGCTTTGAAGGAAGCGCCCGTCACGTGCCATCAGGGCTTGTGGGAAGCTAAAACTGTGGTCCCCTGATTCTCCAAAGGAAAGTGGGGTTGACATCCATTCCTTGCTACAAAGGATGTTCCCGCTCTGACTGTTCTCATGCTCCCCATGGCCTGGAGCTCTCTCCTGCTTCAGGTGGTGAAGCCTCAGCTAAAATTTAGGTTAGCGGGAGTTAAGCACAACTTGTTGCTCCTCCTCCTGTTGTTGCACCTCTAAACAGAAGGGCAGGTCATATTTATTTCCTTAGAGCAATAAATTTGCTTTCATTGTTAGAGAGCACATAGGTATGTCTTAAAGTTGAATATGGTCATCAATACATCCCAAAAACTATGCTAAAATCCTCTCATGTTGGACAAAACAAAATTAGCAGAAAGACTCTCTAAGACAAATCTTAAATACAAGAGAGGGTGTGAGTTCTCCTATCAATTTGTTACCAAATTTCAATACTGTGTATCAAAAAGAAAATCCAAATAATCAGAGCAAATGATTATTAATTACAGTGGGTTGCTGAGGCTATTTTGTAATGTATCCATATGGTACTGTATGTCATGGTAAAGGTTTTTATAACTTCCCTGAGCAGAGCTGGGACTGCTGTGAAAACCAAACCAAGGAATTAGAAAACAGGCTGCGGGAGCTGAAGAAGAAAGTAAAAGATCCACTTCCAGTTGAAAATGAAGAACTCTACAAAGCCAAGGAACACATTAAGGTATTGAACAGCCATATTGTATTTAAATAGATGTAGTCTTTGCACAACACCTGATCCCTGTAGCATCAGTTTTCCCTCTTACCTGCTCTTCAGTGACACTGAATTTCTCTCCTTATGCCATCCTGATTGCTGCCAATCTGCAAAGTCCATCTGACCAAGAAGATGACAAGAAGAGCAGTAGTGTTTGCATTTCTTTTTTTCTCCTGCTTCTGCTCCTGTTCCACAGTCTGAATTTATAAAATAAGCAGTTCTTCAAACAAAAGGGAAAAAACTCCCTGGTCTCAGCTCAACTGGCTGCTATCCTAATGGCTGAATCTCCCTTTTTGTTTTCTAATCCATTTTGGACAGGGAGCTCCTGAGGCAAGAGACCTTATAAGTCTACAAAGCACCATGCACACCTGTGGGATCTGAGAATAATTAAAGAGAAGGAAAATTAAGAGTAAGGGAGTGGCAAAAGCCCTTGCAGCTCATAGCACACCATGAAAATTAAATGGCAAGGAAAACATTTCGAAGGGATAGGAGACATTTTGTCTGGACTGGTCAGTCTTTCATCATCCTTTCATGAAGTGAATTGTTGACCTATGTAGTGGGAACAAATAAGCTTATTAACCAGCCAAGGCTTTGAACTCATTATCAGCTGTCTGAAATCTTCTTTGTGAGTGCTGGCTGCCTTTCCCACAGCAGCAGTCTTGCTGTAGCCCTGAATTGTTTGTGAGATGGCAGCACACAGCTCCTGCCTCCTATTCCAATATGAGAAATTCAGCCGCAGAGGCGTGAGGGTCAGACAGTGCCAATGCAGTTGCTGCTGTTGAGTGTCACAGTATAATAAATTAAAGGACCAAAATGACATGGGGGAGAAGGGACCTCCTTTCCTCTCCTCATATTTCACTCTTCTATGGAATAAAAAGCTGTTTTTCTCTCAGCCTGGACCTTGTATGAGGCCAGCAACATGCCATGAAATTTCATCATTAGCTCCATTAATGCAGAGATTCAACCCTTCTTAAGATAAGTTTTAGTGTCAAGTTTGTTTGGGTTTTCTCCTCCAGTGTTGAAGCAGATGGGATTTTTTTTTTCTGATTTAGATAAGTGACTGGATCAAAAGACCTGTGAAAATGCTCACAGGGCTTGAACCCAGTACACTTCTGATACAAATGCGATTTTTTTCCCTTTAAAATGAGACAAACTGGATCGTCTGTATGAGCTAGTTTTGTTAGAGGAGCCAGTGACACTTCGCAGCAACCACCTTGCAAAATGGGACGTGGTACCTCGCGTGTAACGTATTGTTGTACCCAGCTGCGTGCAGTGGTGTCCCCGCTTTTAGGTGACAAATTTAACACTGATAAAGAAAATGCATAACCTTGTGGTAAAGGGGAAAAAAGCAGGAGAGAGAGCATGTTTCTGTGAATGAACAGTTTCAAATTTTAGCTCCACGTTTCTGACAAATCTGATGAAGTGCCTGCGAAATCATTCATTAGAGAAGGCAGCCACCTGGTTTTTAAATTTTTTTTTTTAGCATTTAAATAAATAACTTGAAATTGGAACAAATGCCAGTGGGAAGCAACCTGGCCATAATAGTAATAGTGAACACAAAGAAAAACCCGAGTAAGCGGGCGCATTCTCTCCCGGCAGCGAAGGCCCAAACTCC